TCTGGAGGTTCCAGCACGCCGCAGCCAGCTGCAGCGGTACCGTCTCGTGTAGGACGAGACTCAGCTCTTGGGGGCGGCTTTATGATGTCACTAAGCTCCAAATGTGTGACCCAGAGCTCACCCTTCAGTTTGCTCTTTTCTCCATCTTTGGGCTCTAGAAACAGCACAAGTGTTTGAAAGCGACATTGCAAGGGGGCGCCCACATCCTCAGACCAAACGTGCAATCGGCCCTCTTCCCACCCTCGGTCAGAGAGCTGGGGCTTCTCCAGTGGATGCCGTGGTCCTGGCCTAGTCAGGTCCCTGGACCACTCCTCTGCTGTCTGCCCCATGAAGTCCGGACTTCCCTCGGAAGCCCCAGGATCATCTGCAGCTATCTGAAACTTGCAGAGATAAAGGCCGTTTCTTGTGTCCCTACCCTCAGACCCTGCTCTTCAATTACGCCCAACAATGTCTACCTCCCAGGTGTCTGTCGGCCCTTTCAGAGCCATAGGGACAGGGTATTCGGTGTGTGACAGTGAGGGTAAAGTCCAGTTGCTCTCTGGCTTCTGTAGGTCTGCCCTGTGCCCCCGGAGCCAGCAAATGGCAGGCAGACACCTCCACGCAGAAAGGAATAGTACAAGAGCATCCTTCTGTTACACCTGCTCCCCATGCAAGATGACTTCCTGCCACGTCCCAGCCCAAATTGTTAGAATGAGTCGTTCATCTTCTACCTTCCCCGGCCAGAACTGAAAATTCTCACCTCTTATTTTCCCCTTTAATTTATTTTTGAGCACTGTCCGCCCTTGTTATAAATGAGCAGCAGGACCTCCCCAAGTCCAGCCCCGGACCTTGTTCCTGGGGTAATAGCCAATGCTTCCTATAGGTGGGAACTTGAATGTCAAAATATTTAGAGATGCATCCTGGAACTAGTTCTTCTCCGCTCTCCTCCTCACCCCTGGGGCCCCGCCCTCAGCAGGCTGACGTTCCTAATTCTGTTGCCCTTAGGTTGTATTCTAATCTGTTTGCATCATTGTTTGAGAGCACTCTGCCCTGGAAAGGGTGGAGGAGGGTGGAGAGTGGGCCTGGGAAGTCACCCCAGAACATTGGCCCCAGGGAGTCTCTCGTGGGATGAAGCTACAGCCCAGGACCAGGGCTGGCATGGTGGTCAGTGTCGACCTTCTCTCTCCTTCGGGCTGCAGGAGGTGGACATCTACACGGTGAAGACGGAAGAGCTGTCGTTCACGTCTGCGTTTTGCCTGCAGATACAGCGCAATGACTACGTCCACGCCCTGGTCACCTATTTTAATATTGAATTTACCAAGTGCCACAAGAAAATGGGCTTTTCCACAGGTGAGCTGTCTTTGGCAACCCAGCCCCTTCTCCTCTCCCAACCTTCCTGGAAGCTGTGTGGGAGGTGACCGAGGCTGGCGATGACTTGGGGGAGGGGCCTGGCTTCGGTAAGCCCTCTCCAGCCGTGAAGCCACACAGCCTCATGCTTTCTGCTGCCCAAAGGAGAAGGTAAACCAAACTGTGGCTGGCGTGGCCAGGGCTGAGAGTGTGCTGGGTGATGGAGGGAAGGAGGCAGGGTCTATGGACAGGGTACCCTGAGACTCTCATGTGCAAATATTTGTTCAATTAGCATTGATGAGTATTCTGTGCAAGGGAGCAGGGTTACAAAGTTGAGTAAGGCCTCTCTCTCCACTACCACACCACCATGAGAGTTGGCCTCTCTCCAAACAATTTTAAGGGTGTACAAGTACAGGTCTGCACACCCCCTTTTCCTTTTTCTTCTCAAATAACTGTAGACTCAGAGGAAGTTGCAAAGACAGTGCGCAGAGCTCTGTGAACCGTTGAGCAGCTTGCCGATGGACAGGACAGTGTCAGACGGCCCCTTCTGGGAGAGCCTGAGTTGGGTTGCTATCCCTCCTGTCCTCTGCTACCATTGGATATCCTTGGAGTACAGAGATTAATATTCTGTTTACCAGAGCCATCAAGTGGTGTAGTGGTTAAGGTGCTGGGCTCCCATGTGGTTGACCTTGGTTTGAGTCCTGGACCCGGCAGCTTGAAACTCAGGCCGGGTGCATGTGTGTGCATGCCCAAAATTCTAAGAGGATAATGGAGGAGAAGGGATTGTGGCCATCCCTACTGGGGGGGGAGGGGGCTTTCTCGCTTTTTCTCTCTCTCTCTCTGACTCTCTGGTGAGCCCATGAGCCCTATAACAAAAACTCTCTTAAAAAATAAAACAAACAAACAAGCAAAAACCTGGGAGACACTTGCATAGTTTCTCAGAGATCACTGCTTTTCTTTTTTCTTTTTTTTTTTTAAGTTTTTGCTGTGGGACACGTACACTCATCAGAGACAGAAATAGAGAGGCAGGGGCAGGGGGAAGTGAGAAGTCACCTCTCAGGGGGAAGGCCTCGATGCAATCCCTTCTCTCCATTCTCTTCATGGGATTTTGGGCATGCACGCACACACACCTGGTGTGATTCTCAAGTTGCCAGGTCTGGGACTTGAACTGTGAAGCTGGCCATGTGGGATCCAGCGCCTTAACCCCCGTGATACCTGCTGGCCCAGTACTACTTCTGTAGTTGTCTTAGTAAACAACTACACAGGATTTCAGGGTAGGGCATGCCTTCAGCCTGTCCCCTTTCGTGATTACCAGCCTCCAGCCAGAGTAGAGATCGCATCTCGTCAGGGCCGCATTCGTGGCTTCTAAGACAGCGTCCCAGATGCACCTGTCACGGACTATGTGCTGTGACTCCTGCCCTTGGGAACGTCTCATGTTGACCATTGTGGGAGTCTTTCTGGGAATCAGGAGTATGGGTTTTCATGGGGCAGTGGGTGTGGGGACACAGGGAGTGAGGAGGGGAGTTCTACCAGAATTCGTGGTTATGATTACTCACTTCCCAAACCCAGATGACAAGGACCGCTCTTTACTGTGAACAGAGGGATCGAGAGACATGACTCGTGCTCAGAGAGCTTCTATAGAACTAGTGTCTCCTGACCACCGTGACCACGCTCTTCTCGTCTCCGTCAGCCAGGCAGGTGCTGGTGCCTTCCTGCCCTCTGGAAAACCAGAGCCCCCTGACCAGGTGGCCACCAGCTGCTCCCCTCCCCAGAGGGCAGTAGCGAGCTGTCCTCCTGGGGCAGGAGCAGCTGGCAGGGAAGGGAGCATTCCCGTGACCTTGGAGGATGGGCAGGAGGCAGCTCTCAGGGCCGAGGGAGCTGAGGACGAGCCAGCTCAAGGACTCGGCTGGATCAGGAATTAGGGAAGGGGCCACAGCATTGGTTCTGCCTCTTCTGTCCCCAGGAGATGGTCATGTGTGACCCAGGGCCAAAAAACTGTGGGTGATGAGGAAGTTGGTAGGCAGGGGTAGAGAGAAAGTTCTGGGTTTCTGAGGCCGGGCTCCAGCCCTGTAGCTCTCAGCCAGGGTTTCCTCTCTGTGAGATGATCTATTTCGAGTCCCCCAAGCCGAGCGGGTGCAAAGCCCTGTCTACAGATGGCTCCCCGGCTCTGTGGTGAGGGTGACATTCGGGGTGTCCCACTTGGAGGGGGCCTGGTGAAGCTCAAGTCTAGTATCAGAGAAGGCGGCTCTGGACGGCCTGAGAGATGGGAGGATGGCCCATCAGGCCTCTCACCCTGCGGCTCGTTTCCCTCTTGCTCTCTGGTCACTCCACTGTCGGACCACGCGGGCCCTGAGCCTGCCCCGTCTGTGTAGTCACAGTGCCGAACCCTCCCCTTGCCACAGTCAGCACTCAGATCCTCAGGCCTCACCCCGCACCTATGGATTCCAGTTCTAGGCCTGGGGTCTGTGTGTTAAGATGACCTCCAGGGGAGTTTGAGAACCACTGCCTCCCAGGAGGCTGCCCTGAACGAGATGGCTGACACGGGACAATGACTCCCTTCTGGATGGGCAATTCTATCTCCTCACTGAGGCGTAGCTTCTGATCTCACTTCGGCTTTCTGCCTCCGGGAGTCGTGTCTGCAATGCTCCCATTTAGGTGGAGATTGGGGGAAATATTGGGTCGTCAGAAAAGTCACCATGCATTTTTGCATAGAAAAACATACATGGTGACTTTTCTGACGACTCAGTAATTGGCTTAGTTGCTTTCTCAGCCACCTCGGGCTGCAGCGTGGGGTTTTGTTTCCAGCCCAGAGCAGGATTCTTTACCAGGTCACCTGGGCCTGCCGCCTATACCCTGACCGCCCTCAGAGTGACTCCTTTCCAGTTCTGAGCACCTCAGACACGCTGACTTACCTTACTCCTGGTGGCTGCCCCATGACGCCACTGGGCCACGCTGACTCAGGTTTGCCTCCTCGTTCTACTTCTAGACAGAACGAACACTGTGAACACGCCGCCTAGCTCAGTAACCGGAACGTGAACAAATGATTAACTATGATGTAGAGAGTAACTAGAAATAAATTTATGATTACTACGACTAGAAAGTAAATACATTCATTAATATTAAAAATAAATCGTTACCAATTAGAACATAAATACAGTATATGCAGTAGAAATGCATTATTAATTAGTGTAATATAATTGTATTTATAATTAGTACATGTAACTAAGTTGATTCTTATTTATATGATAAGCTCCTGGGAGTTCAGCACTAGCTCAGTGATGAAAGTGCTACCAACACTTTTGCATCTGACTGGGTGTCGCGCCCCAGGCTCTCCCATGCTGCCTCTAGATCAACATCACCCTGAAATTTTGCACTCTTATCTCTTGCTTTGCTTTTTTTTTTTTTGCTTTTGCTATTGGGCACATACGCTTGTCAGAGGAGGGAGAAAGAGAGAGACAGGGAAAGTGAGAAGTCACTCCCCAGGGCACGAGGCCACACCACTATCCCTTCTCCTCATTCTCCTTTCTGGAATTTGGACACACACACACACACACACACACACACACACACAGCATGATTTTCAAACTGCCAGGTCTGGCCCCATCTTGGAACATAGTCTTTAACTCTTCAAAAGCTTATGAACTCCCTGGGGAATGAATTCCAAGAAAAATGACTACATCCAAGAAGAACCACCTGCCATGCAGCCGTTAGGAAGGTGAGGCAGGAAGCAAGATTGCATTCCCTGTGTGAAAACACCAGGGGAAGTCTTGTGAGAGGCCCCGCTCTGTCCCCAGCGCTCTCCGTGTTCCCAGCCCGTCTGTGCCCTCTGCTCCCTCACACGCCATTACTTACCTGAGCGTCTTCTCACTTAGGCTGTAAGGGCTCAGGGCAATGGGGAGCTATGTTCCTTGCGGCTGCTATTCTAAAATGTGTTTATTCACCTTTAAAACGTTTTCAATTGACATGTATTTCTTCCATGAGCGACAGAGACAGGCCCCCAATAGTCACAATTCCCACCCCACCCCCAGTTTGGCTAGCCAGGATTGTGGGCGTGTGCATGCCTGGCGTGTGCAGGGAGACCTCAGGGCTCACCCTTGAGACCCAGCCGTGTGGCTTCAGCCTCACAGAGAGCTGCATGATTCTGCACGGCTGCGGCTGCCTCCGCATGGGTAGAAGCACACCTGGGACATGATAGGTGCCTAAGCAGAGTCTGTGGAATGGCACGACGAGGGAAATGCACGAATGCATGCCTGCTTTTGCACTCGGGATGCTGTGAGCGGTGCTGCTCATGCTCACGTCTAGCTGCAGAAGAAAAGCTGTCTGTCATTTGGAACCTGGAGACGAGACTGATGGGGCCTGGGAGCGGGAGAGCAGGTGGGGCACATGGGGCAGGATATGAGGAGCTAGAGGACATCTTGGCCCTGGGAGAGTCGAAGGCTGGTTGGATGATCTAGGTGCACACGGACTGGGGTGGAGGAGAGGAGGCCTCTGAATGGCGTCCGCAGCCCTGGGCTGGGTGCTCACCTTGTGTGCCACTCACCTGGCTGCCAAGTGAGAAGGCACAGCTTTGCAGGCTGAGCCGTCGGTTAGGGTAAACGAAATCATAGTTCACTTCATTAAGTGATGGAGCACCTGGAGCGATGGCCTAGCATACCCCGCCGTGGGGCTGATGTGCTGCAGACCACCTCCCCTGGGAAACGGCCCCTCCGTCTCTCTCCGAACAGGACTCATGCACACAGAGTGTGTCTCTGGCCATTGGGTCCAGGACTCAAACCATGGGGTTGGTCATATGAGATCCAGTGCTAGTAACCACCAGGCTGTGCCTCGCCCTAGTTTATCTCTCAGTTAAGAAAACTTTTAGAGCCAGCAGGTGGCATAGTAGTTAAGGCATTGGACTCCCACACGATTGACTGTGGTTCGAGTCTCAGACCTGGCAGCTTGAGACTCACACTGGGTGCATGTGTGAGTGTGTCCAAGATCCTGAAAAGAGAATGGAGGAGAAGAGAATGCGGCGTGGCCATCCTCCCTGGGGGGTGATTTCTCACCTTCTGACTCTCTGTCTCTCTCTGCCTTTCTGGCGAGTGCCCTGTAGAAAAAAAATATCTCTAACCTCCCCCCCCCAAAAAAAGGAATACATTTGTGGGCTTCCCCTGCAGTCCAGTGGTTAAGGGAGCTGGATTCCACATGGCTGAAAGGTTTGAATCCCTCCCTAGCATCTTGAAAACATGTCTTGCGTGTATGCATGTGTGCTCCAAATCCCAACAGGATAGAGAAATGGGGGAGACCGAGTGACGGTGTGATCACATCCCACTGGGGCGGTGTTAGCTCCTCCCCTCTCTGTCTCTCTCTGGTGAGTGCAAATGCTTTTGCAAGTCAGAAAAAGGGCTGCTAACTATACCAAGGACATGGGTATAAACCCCAACTACTCTGAACACACAGGAGGCTTGGCCACCCTCTGTACACGATGCTTTCCCCTTCTCATCTCATCCTCTCGAGAGCTCAGGGGATAGATATCATGACCCGTCATCTATGGATGTAGCGCTCGAGCCCAGGGGCACAACACACGGCCGTGACGACATGGATGTTGGAAACCGGGCCTGTCGTTGCCTAGCGAAATGTCTTTTCCACTGTCCTACCAAGGGACGCAGAACATGCCTGGTGACGTCAGCCGTGGCCGGGCTTCTGTCACGCCTGGGAAAGGTTTCAGTCTTCGCAGGCCGGCCCTCTCCCGATCTGCCAGATTTACGAAATTCACATCTTTTAGAGGCAAATCATCAGAATTTGAATGTTTCCCTCAGACACTTCGTTGGAGAATTAGGATTGAGAAAATTGGTTTAGACAATTAACCACGGCTAATGTATCATCGTGAAAATACAATGTTTGGAGAGGTTCTTAACCTTTCTTCTAAATTATCTTAAAATTTGTTTGTTTATGGTGTGTGAGAGAGAGAGAGGGTCATCCCCTGTCGCAGTCCTCTGCCCCAGGCTCCCAGCTGGCAGGGCTATGGTCCATGTCACTGTGCCTGGTTCCCGTAGGATGCTCCAGGAACCGAACCCAGGCCTCGGACTCAGCCCCAACCTCATGCAGTGCTGCCCTACCGCTTGGCCATGGTAGCCAGGCCTCTCATTCTTTTGAGGCTGATGTCAAGGCAAAAAGCATTTGTTTCCAAGCCAAAGCTGGCAAGTGTTGGGGTCACCATCAGAGACACTCCTGGGCTGGCCAGTTCAAGCCCGGGGGGTCTTGGGTTTTCACGAGGTATCCGATCAGGAGGCGATTGGAGGCCCTTTGCCCGAAGGTCTCTAGGAGCAGGAGCGACACCTGTCTGAGCCGGTGTAGGGGGGAGTGGGGGCGAGAGTGCTGCCGGTCACACGATACCATTTTCACACAGCCGGAAACTGGCTTCTGACACTGGATTCGAGGCAGCCAGCAGGGAGGTGTACCGAGAGCAGGTGGACTCGGTCTGCAGACAACAGGTCCTTGGAGGCCAGCGGCGCAGACGAGTTTGGGAGCCCACGGGCTGAGAGACTCAGGCTGTGCACCTGTGGTCCTGCCCGTCCAAGTGCAAGCGGCCCTTCTCCCGCGACCTCGAGCGTGCATTGATGTCCTAAATGCACACACCGAGATAGTCACGTCTCCACCCAACCACCGACATTGGATCAAGCCAGTTCATTGTAAAGGGCAGAAAAAGAGGCTCTTTGTCATCTTTAAAATAGATCTTGGGGTTTTGAGAAACTTTAGAGGTCACCTGTTCCATTTTGGTACATGAGACGTTCCCAGTGAGGGTGAGGCAACCCTAGTCCTGAGGTGGATTGAAAATCTGCTTCTCAGAATTCCCAGGGACTAGCCTTTGTTTTGTCCCCCAAACCATACACATGGCTGCATATAACTCTTCCCATGTAACAATCTTTTTCTTTTTCTTTTTGGAGAGGTTTTTCGCTATAGGGCGCATGCGCTTGCCAGACAGACAGAGAGAGACATAGAGACAGAAAACGAGAAAGCTCCCCCCGGGGGGATGGTCACACCGCAATCCCTTCTCCTCCATTCTCCTCTCGGGATCTTGGGCACGCACGCATACGCGCCCGGCGTGAGTTTTAAGCCACCGGGTCTGGGACACGAACTGCGGTCAACTACGTGGGAGTCCAGCGACATAGCCATTACGCTAACTGCTGGTTCCCCCCATGTAACAACCTTAGAGGTGTTTGAAAGGCCCATGTCATGTTCTCCCTGAGTCTTCTCGTCCTCAGTGCTGGTCCTAAGCAAAGAGGGAATGCTGATGGGGAGGTAAGCACGAGAACTTCCCACACACTGAGTTCTTCTGCAGTCCACAGAGTCCCCAGGCCCTGGCGTCATAGAGTATCTGTGGGGAGCCAGAAGCTTCATTCTGTTACTCAATTACAGATGGAACACAGTGGTCGGCCCTGAGGGTACAGCAGGAGGCAAGGCAGGCGTGGCCCCTGCCTGCCCAGACTGGGTCTTGCAGAGGATGCAAACAACTTGGGAGAAGGGCATTTCCACTGTAGCATGATGGACAGCGTGATAACACAGGCCCAGGGCATTGTGGGATCCCTTAATCCAGGTCTAGGTGGTCAAGCAAGGCTTCCCAGAGAAACTGACCTGGAAGGATGAGGAAGAAAGAGGCCAGTGAAGAGGGAGGAGCAGTGTTGCAAAGACAGTGCTGTCCTGGAAGGTGGCCTGTAAGATTCGCCACTGCCACTTAGGGAGAGGATGTGCTGTGTACTGAGCATGAGTGGGTGAGGGCCGCTGCAGGCTCACTGTGACTGCAAATCACGCAGGACGAGTGGCCTGTGCACCAGCGTTAGGCCGCAGAATGAGAACCATCCCTCATCTCCTTTTGATCCAGTTAGGAAGGCACAGCTGGCATCTCACAGTAGGCCTGGACTGAGGTATTAGGTTCAGTTTCTGGGGACTGAGACACAGGGAAGATAGCTACTTGTAGGACTGAGGAGCCAACGACCCAGACATGGTGCAGCTGTGGATTTTTTTTTTTTTTTGAGAGGTTTTTGCTATAGGGCGCATGCGCTCCCCAGACAGACAGAGAGAGACAGAGAGACAGAAAACGAGAAATCACTCCCCGGGGGGATGGCCACGCCGCAATCCCTTCTCCTCCATTCTCCTCTAGGGATCTTGGGCACACATGCACATATGCCCAGATTGATTTTAAGACACCAGGTCCAGGACACGAACCGTGGTCGACTACATGGGAGTCCAGCGACGTAGCCATTATGCCAACTGCTGGTCCCAGTGGTGGAATTTGCATAAACCAGTGGCCCCAATTTTTTTGACATTAGTGGGGGGTGATGTTTGGGGACAACTCAAGCTCATTATGTTTAATGTGTACTTTATTCCTGTTATTATTATATTGTAATACATAATGAAGTAGTTATACAACTCACCATAAAACAAAATCAGTGGGAGCCATGAGCTTGTTTTCCTGCAAGTAGATGGTCCCATTTGGGGGTGACGGGAGCCAGTGAAACCGGAAGTTTCTTTGTATCCAGTCTACTCTGTAATCGCATTTTGATCGCTGTCACTGAAGAAAACGAAGGAAAAAACCAAACAAACATCAACTCTGTCACTGAAGGAGAGAAAACTCTGTCACTGAAGAAAACTGCAAATCTGCAAGGAATTGATTGTTTATAGTTTCTGTGCAGTCAAACCTCTCTGCTAATGTTAACCGATATTTGCAGCTGCTCCCCAGTGCCAGCGTCATAGCTCAGCTCCACCTCAGACCATCAGGCATTAGTTCTCACAAGGAGTGGGCACCCGAGATCCTTCACATACACAGATCACGATAGGGTTTGTGCCCCTGTGAGAATCTACTGCTGCCTCTGATCTGACAGGAAGCGGAGTTCAGGCAGTCATCCGAGCAATGGGGAGTGGCTGTAAATACAGATGAAGCTTTGTTCGGCTGGCCCACTGCTCACTTCCTGCCGTGCAGCCTAGTTCCTGACAGGCTACAGACAAGACTAGTGGCCCGGAAGTTGTGGACCCCTGGCATAAACGATGCCATTTAAGGGGAGGTAGGATAGCCTGCAATATGAGTTTCTCCTCGACACTCCTGAAAGACTTCGCTCTGTTAACTAATTTAAAACTGTAGCATTTTGAGGTTCATTGGTGTTAACGAGTTCAATTGGTGAGAAGGCCTTCATCATCCACCCCTTGGCGTACATGTGTAGCATCAGCTTGTCTCTCTCCTGATCTCCATCAAATGCTCCCTGAGGGAAGGGGCATTTGATGAGGGGAGGGTTTGTTGGGACAGAGCGGGGAATTCTGGTCAGGGCTTAGAGGCAGGGCTGAGCACCGGCCCCGACAGGAGTGCTGGCTGGGGTGGGGTGGGTTGTTCACTGAGTCCCAGGACTGTAGAGCCTTGGCCTCAGCCCTTGTCATCCTCTCACTCTCGCCTCCCAGCCCCCGATGCTCCCTACACCCACTGGAAGCAGACCGTCTTCTACCTGGAAGATTACCTCACTGTCCGGAGGGGGGAGGAGATCTATGGGACCATATCCATGAAGCCAAATGCCAAAAACGTGGTGAGTGCTGAGGCGGCTTTTTGTGGCTAGGGTCACAGAGGATACGGGGCCTGCTTGCCCGGGCTCCTGGGTGTCTGGCACACAGTCTGGGTGCAAGGACACTCACACAGTAGGCATCTAGGATTGGCCATGACTAGATGTAATGAAGGACTCTAGCCTTGGCCCTCGAGACCCCGCAGTTGGAGGCTATTTCTGGGTCCCCTTGGGGTGCTGTCAGCTCTGCATGTGAGGGCTTCGGGAACAAAGGTGTATCCTTACTGGGTTCTGCCCCATTTGGGATGTGCTGGACTGGGAAGGACAGTTTATTTTGGCCCCAAAAATGTTTGGCTCATGTCTCTTAGCTGGCCTGGTGGCTTAGAGAAGGATTGCTTTTTTTTTTAAGAGAGAGATTTTTGCTATAGGGTGCCTGCACTTGCCAGAGACACAGAGAAACAGAGAAGGAAAGTGAGAAATCACCCCCCGCTCCCGGCCGGGGGAATGGCCATGCAGCAATCTGTTCTCCTCCATTTTCCTCTTGGGATTTTGGGCATGCACCCACAAGCATCCAGTGTGTGTTTCAAGGTGCTACTGGGTCTGGAATTCAAACCACGGTTGGCCAGGTGGGAATCTAGAGCCTTAACCACCGCACCACCATGCTGGTCCAAGAATGATTGCTTTTGAGCAGCTCTCAGTGTGAGCACACGCACTGGAAGTCTCCAGAATGCTTTGAGGATTATGCTACAGAAGACTTACTGCTCCACGCTGGGCCAGATCAAACCAGAGGGACATTTTTATATTAGAACATGAAAGATTTAGCTTAGAAATCAGAGACCTTCCTGCGAGGATAATGAGGCACTAGCGTAGTCACCTGGAGCTATTCAGGGACTCCTTATGGCTCCTTCCTAGGAACACCTTAGCCACAGGGGCTGATCAGGAGGCCTGTACCTGAGGAGCGAGGAGCGGGGCCACCACCTCCCACCAAGACTAATGCTGTGACCTTTGCCCTTTCTTTGCAGCGAGACCTCGATTTCACAGTAGACTTGGATTTTAAGGGACAGCTGTGTGAAACATCTGTATCTAATGACTACAAGATGCGTTAGCACACGTGGGAAGCTGCAGAGAGCGAGCGAGAACAGGAACTCATCTCGATCTGCCGCACTGTCCTAAGGAACGCTGTTTGCAGGACTTCCACTCCAAACCAGAGCTGTCAACTCTGCCTTGCGGATTGGTGAACTCACCAGGGCTCCCGTGGGCCCCACCACTGGACAGAGGGCTCCCAGGTCCTCCGCTCTGCCCTGGGACCCCCTCACGGAGGCTTTGTTGTCACCCACAAAGAGCGGCCTCACGAGCTGTGGCTGGGGCTTGAGGTTGGAAAAGTCCCCATGTACCCCGTCCTTCTTAACTGTGACTCTGGATCTTCTGAGTTTTGCATGCTGCAGGCATCTAGGGCAGATTGCTTCCACTAGAACCTGGAGACTTAGTGTCTTTGATAGCATAAGCCAGATTTATCGTCCGTGTGGTGGCGTGTGCGTGCGTGCGTGTGCATACAGCATATATATTAGTTTATTTACCCTCGGTCCCTGTGTATGCAAGCATATGCAGCCACGTGGGTATATTTATGTGTTCATTCAGAGGGGTGTGTGCGCGCGTGCGTGGGTGCGTAGACTATATATCACTCTCAGAGGAGATTCTGTTGCTTTTGAATAGGAATTTGTTTTGTGATTAGTTCTCCCCTTCCCTGAACAGATGTTAAACAGCTATGAACCTTCTCTGTACTAGCTCTGGTCTTCTTCTGACTAGACTGGGCTCTGAACCCTGAGCACAGACCCGCGGACTCTGGGTGTTCAATAAACACACGTGAGAACAAAGCCATGGAAAGCCTGTGTCGCCGGTGCTCTGGAGTAGGGGCGGGGGCGGAAGGGCTGAAGGGCTCTGCAGAGCAGAAAAACAGAGTCAGCAGCACCTCCTGCCTGCCACCTGCTTCCAGGGAAGCTGAGGCCGGAGCAGCAGGACTTCGGGCTGTTCTGGAGTGTCTCCCCTGCAGACTCTCAGAGGTCCTGCGTAAGGGGGTAGAGAGTCCTGGAACACAGGTGGGAGGGCAGGGGCCGTGAGAGTGCTCCAGGATGGCAGGCTCGGTGTAGCCTGGCAGCCACACGTGGCCCGGAGACCAAGTGTGGCAACCGAATCTCTAGAGGATGGAAATAGTGGGTCATTAGGAAAGTCACGATGCATTTTCTTCTATGAAAAACGCGTCACGGCTTTTCCGCAATACAGTACCATGTTCTTCTCCAGGCCGGGTGGAATGTTCGGTTTGGTTTAGCTTCTGAGACCACAGCCTCATCTATGTGGTCTCTCAGGAGAGACACGACAGTGCTGGGAGGGAGGGGAGACCGTTCGAAGGTGGCAAGTGCAGTGAGGGCCCCGGAGACAGCAGAGCCCTCAGGCCTGACTGCACCGGAGCAGGGAGTACTGCAGAGACGTGCCCTTGGTAACAGGAGCCGAGTCCAGAGGCAATGACTGGGGTACTTCCACAGCCCTCTGGTGGCCGCGGACTTCTGCGACTCCCCCACAGTCCTGGGAGTCAGATCCAGGCCTTGCCCCACCGACTTTGCAGCTGAGACCGCTGAGCCCCAGGGCAGAGCAGTGGCGTCCTTGGTCCAGCTGAGCCAGTTCGATGTGCCTTCTACGGCACATACCGCCCCTTCCAGACCACAGGCCCAGCGCGTGAAGCTCAACCCAGAGAAAAATACAGTGAAAATCATGTAACGGTTCTGTCTATGTGTATCAGGCAAGAAGAAGAGAGAAACTTACAGAGAGACAAGACAAAGTGTGTTAGAAGAGAAAAGGGGGTACAGGAGGGTATTGGGGCGGGGATCCTTTCACAGGGCATCTCAGAAGTCCCTGGTGAGTTTCCATCGTGGGGGAGGTGGGGCAACCTCTGCAGTCGGCCTAGGCGTGGGCAGGGAGCAAAGGTCATGGCAAAAGTTCCATTTGTGGTCAGGGCAAGACATCACACTGCCAGGAACCGACGTGCTGCAGGCTGACATTCCTGAGCGCTCCAGGCACTTGGGGCCTGCCACACCAAGGCACCCCAGGGAGGCAGCCCTGAGACCCTGAGGCAGGAGAGAGGCCCTTAGGAAGGGGGACCTGGGGAGAGCCGACTGGACAAACGCCTGGCCATCTTCTGGGGCTCTCCAGCCATCAAAGGAGAAAAGGGTCACCCAGGGGCCCACTCTCATCTCGGGTCTCCAGCCTCCTGGAGCCGCCTCAGCCCCAGCCCCTGCACCTGCCTCCTCCACCTCCTCGTGCTCTACTCCTGGGCTGCGGGACGGACGCCTGGGAGGCACGAACAAACATTCCACGGCAGCTGCCTTCCTCCTGCTCAAGGGACTGCTCCGGAGGGAATTGCAATTTCCCTGTGATTCAGTGGAGAGTAAGCAAGATCTGCTTTGAACATGTTCCGAATGGGAGTCCGTGAGATGAGGTCTCATCTGGGCCATGGCAAAGATGCTCTAAAGATGATTTCCTGTTTCTTCCCTGACTCTTCGCCTATTTATTTACTTATTTATTTTCTGAGACTCTGTGAAACCCATTAGTGACTTCTCCCTGTCCCTCCGCTCTTGCTGGGGGAGCTTTGCCCTCCTACCCCTGACTCAGCTCCCAGGATGCGCAGCCATGACGTCTCTGCCGTGCCTGTGTGAGGGCTTGCTTGTGCACAAGCCTCTCTGCTCATCCAAGCCCACGCAGGCACGGTCTCCGCCCCCCCACTAGGCCTCAGGCCCCAGGGTGCAGGTGGCCGGTGACTGGGCAGCAGCTGATCCCCGCACTGGCCTGACTCCCATAGGCCACTTCTGAAGGACCAGGCTCCGGCCCCTCTCGTGCTCCTCGGAAGATGTCAACGTTTCCTTAACCTCTGGAAGTCACCTCATAGACGCTGTCCCCCCTGGATAAACACAAGCCTCCATAAACCCCACGGTCAGAAATGACGCCTTGACTGGGCCCTACCTGGTCCGTATCCCTCAGCCTCCTCCCCTTCCTGGCGCTGCACCTGGCAGGGTACCTCCGAACACCAGCGTGGCATGACATTAGCCATGGATAATGCTCACCTGGCTGTGTTCATCTTGCCTGGGGTCCATCCTTGGCCTCGGGGCCAGTTCTGATCATGGGGATCTGCCCTGCCTTGGTTTTCTGTCCTAAGCTGTCCTCTTCCCACCCCCAGGTCCCCCACAGTATGGAAGTCCTGTCCCGTTTTGCAAATGCCTCTCCCTACCACACTGAGGGGCACCAGTCTGGTTTCTGGAGCCCTGTGCCTAGAGTCTTGAACAGCCCCTCCCCAGAGACCTTGCTCTGAGGATAGCCTCACCTGGGGGACCCTAGCTCACCTTAGACCTTGGTTGGTCTCACGTTGCACCAGACCTTGGCCTGCTGTCTTGCGACCTCAGGAGGGGCCCGGCTTCCTGAGCACCTGTCCAGCTGCAGTGTCTGAGCCCAGCCCAGCTCAGGAGCGTCCTGCATCCGTCTCATTGGGAGCAATTAGCCCACACTCAACAAGGGCTTAGTCGGTGATCAGAGGACCAGCCTAAAGGTTTACGGGATCTTTTACGGGCTCCAGGCACTGAGCCACACACTGGCAACATGGCAGAGTCAGCAGGAGCGGCCCTGCCTTCCAGGACACGCTGGTCGGCTGGGTCCACTGCTGCCCAGATCCTGAGAAGTAAGGCCCTCAGCCACCCTGCACGTCCAACTGCAGCCCTCCTCACCCCACCCTGTGAGCCACCCTCAGTATTTAGCCTGGCTTTACAGCGCAGCCCCTGCCAGGGGTGGGGGCAGGGAGTGCGTACCTTCCTTGGCTAAGCTTGGTCTCTAAGCCCTAGAGACCAAAGGAGAATATGCTTCCATCTCATTCCACCTCTGAATTCCACAAGAGCGTTCATCCTGCTGCTCTCAGAGAATGATGGTTCAACAAGGCTAGCTGTAGGTCATGGGTCCCAACAGAAGCTCCCAGGGGACTTTACCAGCCATGAGCAGGCACCTTAGCCTCAAGGGTCACCAGAGTCATTAGGCAGAGGAAGCTCCAGCTGTGCTGGGTCCCTAGCCCCAGGGTCCTGCTGTCCCCAGTTCCAAAGTCAGTCATTGGGTAAATGAGTTTGTGAGTCAAGGGATGTAGTCGACCTCCAGCACCCTGCTTACTAATACGTGACTGGGCAGCCACTTCACCCCGGGGAGGATACATCTCCCCTACCAGAAAGGTAACTCAGACTCAGTGCAAGTAGAACAAGTCTGCAAACTCGCTGTACCGTGGGCA